CCACAGTCCAAAACCCACTTCACTCGCTTCAGTGGTGAGATGAGAACAGCAATTAGATATTAAAAAAATCAATATATGACAATTAAAAAAATGGAAAATGGATAGCAATCAATCGCAGTGAGAAACCATGGCGGGTAGAGAACAAGTCAGGAGAGCTGGAGATGCCGAGGAAAACTTGTGCCTGGCACCAGTGAGGAGAGGAGGAGAGAGAGAGCTGCTCAGGATTCTGGAGAAGAAGGAAGGGATAAATGGAAGAAGCAGTAAGGTAGAAATTTTTGATAAATATTTCTGCTGTAGACCTGGAGAGCAGCTGTGTTTTGTCTCTGTATCATAGGTGGGTGATGATGGTTTTTTCTAGCTCATTGGTAGCCAGGGAGGGTTTTATATGAGCAGAGAGAAAAAAAAAAAATTCTCCTCCAAAGGAGAGAAATATTTCTAAATAAAAAGGCCCTGAAAAGTTGCACCCAAGGAACCCTGAAGAATCGACATGTGATGCTGGTTTTAAAAAAGCCTATGAACTGGGCAAATGCTTTCAAGAGCTGGTCAGGGTAACGTGGGAGAGTTGGCAACACTTTGCTTATCTCTCCTGGGCAAAATAACTGAAGAACCAACATAAGATTCAATTGATAAAGAATTAAAGGAAAGAAATATAATTTGTGCCACTCAGCCTAAATTTATGGAATATGGATCTTGTCAAATAAACCTGATTTCATTTTTCTAGATGACAACTGTGGTTGATAAATGTAGATGAAATGGACTGCACAGCGCTGTGACATTGCGTATAGGAAGACTGAGCAGTGGTACTGCTAGCACAGGTGATGCAGAGCTGGCCAACAGATTTGGGGATGTGGGGCTTTAAATGAAGAGCTCAGCAGGTGCTGGTGGGGGCCTCAGTGGTGCTTAGTGCTTTGTTGGTGATTTAGAAATTACTAAGCAATTCTGGTTAATTGGCATTGTGCATAAAGCAAAGGTGGGTGCAGAGCAAGAGGGGCAGGTTAATAGGGTGGTCTGGAAAGACTGTCAGGAAGGATGTGTTGAGAATATACCAGGTCCAGCCTCACGTGGTCCTCAGCTGGAAGAGTGGGATCGGGGCTGTGCTTACAGAACTGGGTGCAGCATCATGGAAGGCATCAGCTCTGTGGGAAGCTGAGAGGGAAATCAGGTTCTTCCCAGCATGATGCCAGGATGAGAAGGGCTAGGCAGGTCCTTGAGTAGTGGAGGGGTGGCCTTAGGATGGAAAAATAACTGGATTTTGAAGTGTGCCTCAGTTTCATGAAGAACACCTTGGTGTGTGTGAGGAGCCCATTCATGATCAAGAGCTTTTCAGTGTTTCAACCACAAAACCCCTCAAAATACAAAGAGAACAGGTAGAGGTTAGAGCTGGAGAAGTTCAGGTGGATCCCAGTACCCGTCTGTGAGTGTGGTTGGCTGTGGGAACTGACTGTGGTGGCAAGCAGTGGGTGCTCTCCCTGTCTGCTGAGCTGCTTCGAATAGATTTCACTTTGGACTTTGTGCTCTGCCCTACGTTTGGCGCGGCCGGAGGAGGTCGTGCTTTACTGAAAGACACTGTGTTGGTTACAGAGTGACCTGTACCATGGGTGAGGCTCAGAGGGTGAGAGCTGCAGGTCCCTTTCAGCCTCAAGTTCCTGAATTGAGGAGTAGTCAAGAATGTGAGCTCCAGCCCCAGGATGTGAGCTCCAGCCCCAGGATGTGAGCTCCTGCCCCACTGCTGGTGGCCAAGGAGGGCTGGTTCAGCGGTGACTCCTGACTCTTGGAAATGAGCTGAAAGCCCCAGTGGCATCGCAATGGATGACATATCCCATCACATTGTCCTGGTGGATGCTGAGGCACAAAGAGCCTTATGGGGCCTTCTCCAGCTCTGTCCTTGGCCAGCAGCAGCTTCTGCATCTCCGTGCTGTGAGACCCACCTCGCTTGCCCCATGGTCATGCCCAGATGCGTTTGCTGGGAAGGCTGTGTGGACACAGGGTCTGGCCCACACAGCAAGGAGACATCAGTGGATATGGCCTTTAGGTCTGGCTCTTGAGGGGACCCAGATGGTGTCCCAAAAACCCGTGGTGGTGGTGGGATGGGAGCAAGGGAGGGCAAGTTCCTTCCAAACCCAGGGATTGCTGCAGCGGTCTAAGGACCCGTCTTGTTGCTGTGGCTTAGCGCCATAATTTTTGCAGTTTGGCAAGGCTGCATCAGACTGGAACGTATCTCTAGGTGGTGATATGGTCAGTCAATAGCCTTCATAATTAATCAAGCACTAATAGACAAATTAGAAATCATGTCTCTTCAGAGCAGGAGGTGGAGACAAATGGCTGGTGGATTTTAACTGTTTCGCTCCTTTGTTTTATTGCCTGGTTTTACCTTGCTCCCTTGAAAATGGTGGGTTGTTTAGGGGAAATTCTGTACATAAACATGATTTTAAATGTAAATTATTATCTTGATTACCAAACATGGACAGTGAATTGGAAACTTGTTTTTCAGGCAAGCACATGAAGAATAATCTTACATTTTACACTCCACTAAGTCAATGTAGCCCTAATTTTGCCACGCAGGAAATCAATTCCAGTCTTTATAACAGTCGAAGATGTTATGAACAAAGTAATTTTGCAAATTATGGCAAGTAACACATTTATTGATGACTGTAGCTTAGGAATTTAGAATTTGTGAGCACTGTAATATAATAAGGCTGCACTGGCAGGAGCTGAGTGAAATACAGATTATACGGTGAAACTGTAATGCATCATTTGCTATTAGTGGACTGGTAATAATTACCAGTTTCAAAGCAGCTTTTTCCATGTAATCTTTAGTCTCAGTCGTAACAGCCCTTCTCATTGACATTATGATTACACGAGCTGCCCTTATGATCTAGAATATCTAGTTGATGGGAATACTAAAATGTGGTAGCAAATGCTCGATGTTGTATCCTCATTATAAGATAAAATGCTATTTTCTCTGACCTGATCTATAAGGTAGAGAGGCGAGGTAGTGTTTCGTTGTTAGCTCCTACCGTGGTGTTAAAAACTTCCACTTCATTATGATGAAGGAAGATGATATTTTTTCCCCCCCAAGCTCACAAATGAGCATAGGAATGTGAAAGTCCAATTGAATTTCCCTCTAATTTCAGCAGATTTAAGTATTTATCTGTGCTCACATGCCTGGCACATACTAAACACAACAGTGCATTTTATTCCAAGGCAGGCTTCAGGATGAAACATTAAATATTATTCCAAGGGCTTTTAAAGTGATTAAAGTGTTAAATGCCTGCTGTAGACGACTGAGGCTCTTTGCTTGCCTGATTCAGCTTCTCAGGCCAAACGTAGAATAGTGGCAGAGCCGGGAGGCAGGAAGGGAAGCTGGGATGGAGCAGTACAGCCAGTGCTGGATCTCGTAGGATCATGGAATGCTTTGGGTTGAAAGGGACCTTAAAGATGCCTGGTTCTGTCAGGTATCCCCAGATCATCGGGAGGAAAATGCCTTACACGATGCTTTTCCTCCCCTGTGAGATGGGAAACAAGACAGGTGCAGATAAAGCGATGTTCCCTTTCCTTATTTGCCTTACTTGGTTATTTTGGTTATTTTTTTTTAACTTTCCTTTTCTTTGTATTAGACAAATAGGGGAAACCTAATGAGGGCAACTCTCAGTGCAGCCTTTTTACCCGAGAGAGATGCCTAAGGAGCAGATTCCTTGGGATGTAAATGTTGGGTCAGGGCAGGAATATGTGGTGAAGGCCAGTACCACTCTAAGTGCTGATGCCCTTGGAGGGTTCTTGGCTTATCTCTGAGCAAACCTCCGTGTTACTTTTATTTGTTAAAATATCACTAAACAACAGCTCTATGAGAACTGCTGAACAAGGCTGGAAATGAATTTATATCTTTCTTTTAGCTCCAGCTTCAGTTTACCAGCGTTTAGCAAAAAGCATCCATATGGGGCTGGAAGTGAATTATTCACAAAATCCCAGTAATCAATAAAGGCACCCTCACCTTCACCATATCTCAAGCCACTCTTCCCTCGTGGGCAGCCCTCAAAAAGTTATTCATCCCCCTTGTTTTGCCATATATTAGAAGGGGCTGCTTTCTGCTGTCATTATTAGCCGGCTTTTTGTTTAGTTATTTATTAGTTGGTTGCTCTTTTATAATGTCCGTGTTATCTCCAAAAATAAATTATCATGAAATAGAGTTAGCTCACTACTTGCCAAAGTGGCATTTACCATCCTCAGCTTCTTTTCAGCGCGAGAGAAATAATGCGGCTCCGGCAGGGCGCTCGGCCAGGCCTCCTGGCCACCCTCCAGCTCTTTCCCTGGCGGAGCCGCCGCTCTCTCTGTCTTCCCCTTTCCCTGTCCCATGCTTGATTTTTTTTCTGGCCCCCTTCCCTTCCCTTTTCATTTTTATTTTTATTTCTTTTTCTTTCCTTGCCCTAGAGGTAAATCTCTGCTAAGGAGCAGAAGTTGTTTCTTAATTTTAAAACATTGTTAGTCTCAAAAGAAGGAGGAGACTAAAGTGTGTTGATGCCCAGCTTGCTGGCAGTTGTGATGCTTTGAACTGATCTGTGTGGAGTGCTTTTCAGAAGGGGATTTCTTTATTTGGTATTTATTTATCTATTTATATATTTATTTACGTATTTATTTACCAACACTCTAAATGCCTTCAGCCTCTTGCAGCATAAAGTCTGCTGAGTTGGAGCTGGCAGTGATTGACTTGAATACCTCTTGCTTTTCTTACCTTGTTTTATTCTGTGGTTACCTGGCATGGTTCAGTTTTGAACCCAGAGCTGGGCACGGTGGGAGGCGGTGGATGTGCTTGGTGGGAGTTTGGGTCTCCCCGTTGTGCCTCTCACCCCTTCCCATTCGTGTCCCCTGCCTGTCCCCCAGCTGGGATGTTCCTTCCCCGGCTGGGTGTCCCGGAGGAGGAGAGGAGGTTAGGGCGGGGAGGCGAGCGCTCGCCCACCGCTGGACGGCCGGAGATTGACGCTGCTTGTTGTGTTATTTTGCAGGTAAAGATGAGCCCAGCAGCTACACGTGTACGACTTGTAAACAGCCTTTCAACAGCGCCTGGTTCCTCTTGCAGCACGCACAGAACACGCACGGCTTACGGATCTACCTAGAAAGCGAGCACGGCAGCCCCCTGACGCCACGGGTTGGTATCCCAACAGGACTAGGTGCAGAGTGCCCTTCCCAGCCACCTCTCCACGGGATTCACATTGCAGACAATAACCCTTTTAACCTGCTCAGAATACCCGGCTCGGTCTCGAGGGAGGCGTCGGGGCTGGGAGAAGGGCGTTTCCCACCCACGCCGCCCCTCTTTAGCCCTCCCCCGAGGCACCATTTGGATCCGCATCGCATTGAGCGCCTGGGTGCGGAAGAAATGGCTCTGGCCACCCATCACCCTAGTGCCTTTGACAGGGTGCTGCGACTGAACCCCATGGCGATGGAGCCCCCCGCTATGGATTTCTCCCGGAGGCTGCGGGAGCTGGCCGGCAACACCTCCAGCCCACCCTTGTCCCCGAGCCGGCCCAGCCCTATGCAAAGGTTGCTGCAGCCCTTCCAGCCCGGCAGCAAGCCCCCGTTCCTGGCCACGCCGCCCCTTCCTCCTCTGCAGTCTGCTCCTCCTCCCTCCCAGCCCCCCATGAAGTCCAAGTCCTGCGAGTTCTGCGGGAAGACCTTCAAGTTTCAGAGCAACCTGGTGGTCCACCGCCGGAGCCACACAGGGGAGAAGCCCTACAAGTGCAACCTCTGCGACCACGCCTGCACGCAGGCCAGCAAGCTGAAGCGCCACATGAAGACCCACATGCACAAGTCCTCCCCCATGACGGTGAAGTCGGACGACGGGCTCTCCACCGCCAGCTCCCCTGAGCCGGGCACCAGCGACCTGGTGGGCAGCGCCAGCAGCGCCCTCAAGTCCGTGGTGGCCAAGTTCAAGAGCGAGAATGACCCCAACATGATCCCTGAGAACGGGGATGAGGAAGAGGAGGAGGACTTGAACGAGAGCGACAGGCAGGACTATGGCTTCGGGATGAGCCTGGAGGCGGCCCGTCACCACGAGAACAACTCACGGGCTGGCGAGGAGGGCCGGGCGATGCCGGACGTCATGCAGGGCATGGTCTTGAGCTCCATGCAGCACTTCAGCGAGGCCTTCCACCAGGTCCTGGGGGAGAAACACAAGCGGGGCCACCTCCCCGAGCCCGAGGTGCACAGGGACACTTGCGACGAAGACTCGGTGGCCGGCGAGTCCGACCGCATTGACGAGGGGGCCGTCAACGGCCGGGGCTGCTCCCCGGGGGAGTCTGCCTCGGGAGGCCTGTCCAAAAAGCTGCTGCTGGGTAGCCCCAGCTCCCTGAGCCCCTTCTCCAAACGCATCAAGCTGGAGAAGGAGTTCGACCTGCCGGCCGCCGCCATGCCCAACACCGAGAACGTTTACTCCCAGTGGCTGGCGGGCTACGCCGCCTCCCGGCAGCTGAAGGACCCCTTCCTCAGCTTCGGCGACTCCCGACAATCGCCCTTCGCCTCCTCCTCCGAGCACTCCTCGGAGAACGGCAGCCTGCGCTTCTCCACGCCGCCGGGCGAGCTGGACGGAGGGATCTCAGGCCGCAGCGGCACGGGAAGCGGAGGGAGCACCCCCCATATTAGTGGCCCGGGCCCTGGCAGGCCCAGCTCAAAAGAGGGCAGACGCAGCGACACTTGTGAGTACTGTGGGAAGGTCTTCAAGAACTGTAGTAATCTCACCGTCCACAGACGGAGCCACACGGGCGAGAGGCCGTATAAGTGTGAGCTTTGCAACTACGCCTGCGCCCAGAGTAGCAAGCTCACCCGGCACATGAAAACACACGGGCAGGTGGGAAAGGACGTTTACAAATGCGAGATTTGTAAGATGCCTTTTAGCGTGTACAGTACCCTGGAGAAACACATGAAAAAATGGCACAGTGATCGAGTCTTGAATAACGAGATAAAAACTGAATAGAGGTATATT